AGGGGCGGGGAATTCTTTGAAACTGGAGGCATAGAAAAAGCAACGATTCCTAACCAAAAGAAAGATGAGAATGAAGAATAAATCTAATTTTCCCAAACTAAAAGTCAAACCATGAGTAGTAATCAGCATGAAAAGAGGTATGGAGAATATTGCCCATAAATACAGAAAGGAGCAACCTAGAAATAAATGTGTAAAACTACTGTAAACACGCATTAAGTCACTGTAAACACATGAATGAAATATGAAGCCAGTGGTTACATAGGGGCTAGGCTCCGTGGCACCTCTGCCGCTGACTCACTGGACAACCTTCAGCAAGTTTTTCTCCTTTCACTGCTTTAATTCTTTCATCTGTGAAAGAGTTAGTAGTTCCTTGTCCGTAAAACAAGTTAAGAGCCTTAAACAAAAGAATACTTTAGTAAAATATATGATAAGTCTACTTCCTGTCTATAAGCATACTGAGTAAGATAGGTATCAACCATGTACAGTTTAAGAGAGCATCATAAACACTGTTTATTATATAATCTTATAGAACAGACGAATGCAGCATATACACACCACAGATGCCATAAGAGTCAATAATAAATTTAATTTTATTACAATGTCTTTTTTTATGGCAGAGAACTAATTCTGTGCTATTCCTTTAATATCTCTGCATATTTCACTAAATCATTCTTCTCTAAAAAATTAATAAATAAACCACCATCGTCTCCCATCTGGAGAAGTACAGTAGCCTCCCCACTGATCCTCACGTTTACTCTTGCTTTCATGCCTTCTCCACAAGGAACCTTTAAAGTTTACATCATTGGATCCTATCTTTTTCAATTTATATACTCCTTCGAAAAGTTAATGAAAGCTGTAACCTCTCCTCGAAGAGTGAACATATAAACACGCAGAGAAAATGCTGCATACAGTTTTAGAGATTTTACTAACTTTCCTGAAGTCTATCCACTGAATTCCAAGTCAAAAACCTCAGCTTAAACTGAGCTGAGGTTTTCTTGTTCACAATGGATTCAGAAGCCACAGAGCTTAAGCATCGAAGGTCAAGTAAGGCCAATATGAGACATTCTGTTTTGGCATGAACAATAGGAAGTACTGTATACAACACTCCTATGAAGTATTCTTGCCAAAAATGTCAAGCCTGTATCTAATAAAGCCTTTACACCTAACAATAAATACAGGGGTCAGAGGGACATACCATGAGGGTTCAATCGGCAAAATCCAGAGTCAGGGAAATTCTATAGGATTTGTCTTTCCTGCCTAGCCACTCTTTCTGACTCTGTTACCTGGGACCTCTTGCTCCTTCCCAGCCCAGAGAGTGGCTGAATCCACTCTTTTGGAGAGCTTGCCTTTTTAACTACTCCTGCCCACAATCATCTTTTTCTCCTCATTTCTATCTCACTTAGTCTATTTCATACAATCCACTACTGCTTCATAGTCTTCCTAAGACCAAGCTTATATTAACAAACACTTATGAAGGGCCTGCCACAGCCCTCTATAAACTGGAAAACTTGAGGAAATAAAAATAAGTCGACCACAGCCTAGACCTTTAAGCTTCCTTACAATTAAGTTCTGGGATAACTAATGAGGCGCTTGCTTGATGTGCAGTATGTGCATTTTTTATATGTTCCAAATCGCTCGGAAATATGCTAATACAAATTAGAACCTTAATACTTACTTACTGACTTGGACTTCTGTCGATATAGATCTTATTTAATTGAAATCTGCTTTCCCTTTCTTCATTCTAATATCTTCTCTTCTTCAAATTTCCTAACTCTTCTCTTCAGGTCCCAATGCTATTCATTTGTGGTCACTTACAAGGCTCTGTAAACCTTATCCGTATCTAATTCTTCTATCACATTCTTTTAAAAATCAGATTAAGAAGAGTTTCCAATCCAACTGTCTCATTATCTACCATTTCAAAAAACTTCCTTCTGTGATCTCCTAACTTTTTGCCTGTGCGTGTTTTTCATTATTTTTCCTTGTATGCTAGTTAATATATACAAACAGTATTTGAAAGCAACTTTAAGTTGTCTTGCCTTCCCCTCCTAGTCTGAAATACTATACTAAATACTTCCTAACCTGAACCTTCTATCCGTTGGCTTCTTTTTCCTGGAAAAAATCAAAATGTGAGAAAATTTTATTTTTATTTGGCCACAGTTTGATAAACTTGAGCATTGATAAAATGTTTGACCTGATGTCACTGCAGAAGCTGTGTTTTATTTCTATAGATGTCTCGTCTTTTATGTAACCCTCCAAATCATCAGATAATTACATAGCCATTTTGCCTGAAGATCTAGTACTCACCTGCTCTGAAATGCCATGCTAGTAAAAATCTATTTGGGGGTTGTTCTGGCCATTCTTCGCTCACTATAAAGAAGAAGGTGCCCGTGGAATACTTCGGTGATGGAATGATTGTCTTTCAACGGCACAAACACACAGTTAATGACAGCTAACTGTTGACAGATCCTTAACACACCTACATGTAACCCCATTCATTCACTCACCACCCGACCTCTGCTGCATTCCCTTTTAATGACGACACTTCATCATTATCAGAAAGATGAACCAAATGCGAAACAGAGTGCGGCCTGGCCCTTGCACATCCTACAGATGGACGTTCTCATTTGTGAGGCTGAGTCCATGGGAACACAAACCGACCCCAACCTTGAGTCGAAACAAATGATCAGGAACTATTCACAGTCATCGGAATCCCGCTTGCCACCACACATCTAAGCAAATATCTGTTTCCCTCATTTGCTCTTTTTATTTTGTCTCCCTTTTGTTTTGTTTTTTTCCTGTTCGAAGATATAAGGGACCATAGAACACATTAAAAGGTTACTCCCTCTAAGTACCCCTAAGGCTTCCTTTAGCCTTGACTAAATTTTTCCATCTTGCACACAGTGAGATGAGGAAAGTCCAGGGGACTTTTGCAAGGTTTTGTTGCCAGGGCGGACAAGCAGAGCCGGGTGTGCTATAGTGATTTTATTTGTAATTAGGGGTGATTTTGCCTTTATGGCTGGCTAGTTCACCCCTGGGAGAGGCTTTTCTTGCTCTCTGGTTTTACAACTCGCATTCCTAAACGGGACAGAGGACCTTGGTTAAAATCCTGACTCGAAAAAGTTCATTGTTAAGAGAAATCTATAAAATCCTTATAAGAACCCAGACTTTGGTGCATGAAAGGTAGAAGACATAATCCTTGCTTTCAAGAAGCCTGCAGTCCCAGAGGAGTCTAACAAATGCAGTATATGCAGTGAGTAAAAGAAAAGGGGTGGACTCAGGTCCAGGAGGTAGCTGGGCCCAGTGGGGGGGGGAG